AAAGAAACAAAAAAATCCAAGAGGTTGCCCAAAAATATATTATCGAAAAACTGTTGAATCTTTATCATGCATCTCGAAACATTCAAGATTAATTAGTTTATTATTTCAGTTTCATTTTAAAATCAAAATTCTTTGAAAGCTCCAATCAACACGTAGCTACCTAAAAAGAAACAAAGAATCCCAGACGTCGAAAACCGAAAACAGTCACAACTCAAAACTCAAAGTTGTTTCTAAGTACATGCGTACATGTATTATATAATGACCACCCAGTAGATTTACTAGCTTTAAAATGAACCGAATACTTAAGAAAACTAAAAGAAAATCTCAGTATTTGAAAACTAAAAAAAATGCGAGTTCACAGGTTCTAATTTTGAAAATATAGACAGTCCCGAGGCAAAGTCTCAAAAAATCCCAAAATGTTACAGGAAATAATCATACAACTTTAAAACTGATTTTAAACCATTCATCATTCGAACACTTAAGGTTTAGAAAACTACAAAACGTATGTGAATTTCATTACAAAGCCAAAAAGTGTATCTTGCGTATGTACGCGGATTCCGCAACAGGCTGAAAACTGATTTGTCCCGAACTCCGCAACAGCGCTATTTTTCTTTGATCGTCTTAACTGTTTTCAATTTCACGAACAAATAGCTCAAACACTATCGCCTAAAGTCGCTCCAAAAAAAGGCGATTTTGCGGATCCGGAACAAAATTTGCGGAACCCGGAACTGTTTGTGGAATCTACAATGAAATAAGTATATATGTGTATAGCAAACTTAAGCTGTCATGGAATCAGCAACTATAAGCGGATTCTGCAAATTGTAAGCGGAATCCGCAAATTATAAAAGCAATCCGCATATATTTGCGGAATCTATTTACAATTGCAGAATTCGCTAAGATTTGCGCAATGCGAAACAACTAGCTACAATAACTCGTTGAGGAATCTGCGACAAAACTTACGTTACAGCTGTTTGTTATGCAGTGCACAGTTTGGTCTCGTAATGTTCAAAAACTAATTCAGATTATTCTAGCAGGCAATTTACTTTCATAAATGAAAAGAAGATATATTCAGGAACTTGAACAAATTGCAAAAAAAAACAAGGACAGCTAGTTACTGTGCAAATGGTACAGAATGTTCTGACCTAGGGCTTGAAAAAACGACAAAATCACTTTTTTTTCACAATTATGTCGTTTTTCTCCTGTGTTGTGTGATAAAAACATTTAAACCAAAAAAAAAACAGAAATTAGGCATATTCGACAATCATAGTCAAACAGGCCAATTGGAAAACAGTTTTTATAGAAAAACTATAGAAAAACCAAAAAAAAATCGGAAAAAAGTTAAAAGAAAAAATAAAACACCCGAATACAAAGTTTCTCGCCAAAAACTTTAAAAAGTCCGATAGCATTTAAGACCGAAAATTATTGCAATGTGTTTTAGTTGACCTTAATTATTCCCAAATATTAGGTTTAATTGACCTCAAAGCTGGGTGGTGCCAGCAACTTATATTCGAGGTTCTGTTTTTTTGTTAACATGAGATTCCGAAAACTGCAAGTTTCTGAGAAATCTCAATTTTCTTTTTAAAATTAACGTATTTCAAAACCAAAAAAATTCACTCTTTACAAATGTTCAGAAATTTAGCTGGGTGCTGCCAGAAGTACATATGAGGCTCTCAATATGATCATATGACCTTCAAAACCGGTTATTTTATGAAAAATCGCTATTTTTGTATCATCATTTTCATGCTTGATTAGATGTGTATGAGAGGGTTTACCTGGAGTAGACACTGAGTGGGCAAAGAAAAGCCCTTTTTCTTTTTTTCCTCTGGAGATAACTTGTACAAAAATCATCTTGAACGTGAATTTCAAAAAAGAAAATTTGCTTTATAAAATCCTGTTTTTTTGCTATACTCAAAAACTAAAAGAAAACTAAGGTATAGGAAGTTCAAACAGTGAAATTGACTGAACGTATAGGCAACAAAGAATCTGGTTTCTCTTATTCAGTACGAATTAAAAATATGCGGATACAAAATCGATAGAAAATAAGCCAAAGCCCCGTTAACCAAAGAAACGTGAAAAAAATATTGATTAACCAAAGAAACCTGACAAAAACCTTAAAAAAACCAAAAAAAACTAATTTTACCTTTTAAAACTAAGTTTACAGGGTTTAAATTAAGCTTAAATAAGCTGCTGTTAGCCTGCTGGCCCGCTATATTTCGCTCGAAATTGAAACACAAATCAGAAATTTTAAACCAGTCTTTCTCGTGTTTTTAAAATCACGACTGAAAGGGCTTCGATTAGGTATATCACTCGACTCATTTCAATGAATTTTTGTGGTACCTGATTTTGCGTAGAAAAAACTTCAATACACCAGAATACAAAGTTCCTCCACATTTTTCAAATGGTCGGAACAAATACCAACAAATAACTTGACATTCTTCAAGGAACGCCATTATTTGTAGTTTAATTCAAGGGGAAACACAATTCTGAATAATTATTCAGACAAAAAACCAAACTAAATGACTTTAAAAACTGAACGACTTAAATAAATGTCTTCACTGCATTCATTAAAACTCAAAAACATAACCAAAAAACATTTGGAAAATTGTCAATGCACTCAGTTAAAAACAAAAGAAAAATGATTCATTTTGAAACTATCAAATTTCGAAAAAATAAACAAACTATTAACGAGCATACTTAGTTTTGCTTCCAACAAAGAAATTGAAATGAAATTAACAAGAAATAAAATGTCGAACTGCCAGCAGTCAAAATTGAGCCAGAACTTTTAAGACTTTTTCCCGAAAAAATCAATACGATTTACAGATGCTTTCACAGCGGACATTCATTGACAATAAAACATGCCGATCTTCATTTAAAAATCTCAAATTGGTAAAACTCAATTGCAAACTAACATAGCCAACAGAAAGTTAAGAAAGCCAGTGAACGCAAGAAAACAGAAACATAGCCAAGAGACACTTGGAAAAGAGTCAAAAACGCAAGTAAACAGAAAACAAATACTGACTTATTTTTGACTTATTAAATTTTTTTTTATTTCGCTGGGAAATATGAAATCAACTTTCGAAACTTTAAGTCGCTCACGTTTTTGATGACTTTACACTTCCGCTGTTCGAAAGTGGAGTTTTCCTTCCTTTTAACAAAAGAAATGAACGAAATTTAAAAAGAAATCAAACACCAAACAACGAAGAGCTTAATTTTAGCCTGATTAATTTTAAGACTTCTGCTGAAAAAAAACAGATCATCGCGACTTTTAAACATAGCCAACTAACAGTTGCAAAAGAATAATGAACGCAAGGAAACTGAAAAAAAAACTTCTGGTTTTTCAAAATTTTGAATTTCGATGAGAAAAATAGATGTCCTTAAAGGTCTTTGAATTTGTAGAACAATTTATGATGAAAACCTTTTTGTTTGAACTAACCCACTATGAGAAAACTGAGATCAATACGTGAAACTTTAATTTCGCTGGAAAATCTGATAATTAATTTTCATTTTCGAAATTTGAAGTCGATCATGTTTTTTGTGACCTTTACACTTTTTCTGTTCGATAGTGGAGTTTTCCCTCCTTTTAACAATGAAAATGCACTGAACTTAAGAAATCACAAGTCAAACCGCGAAAAACCGAAAATGAGCGTGAACAAGTAGGTTTAAGACTTTTTACTGAAAACCACAAAAACAATCAGAAGACGTATTGAGAGTACTCACGACGTTCATTACTCTTAAAAACATAGCTAACTGACTGTTGGAAAATACAAATGAACGCAAGGAAACAGAAAAAAAACTAACTTGTTTTTTTGAAACAACTTCAACTAGCAAAGTTAAAAGAAAAATTGTAAGTCCTTTAAGCTCTTTGAATTGCACGAAACAATTAGTTTGAACCTTTTTGATAAAAATGCCTTATTTGAGAAAACTGGATCAATAAGTAAAGTTTTGATTTCGCGTGTTTCATGAACAGTATTTCAGAAAATTAATTTAAAAAAAACACTTAAAAAATTTCTATAAAAGAGCACTCAGAGGGTTCATTACTCTTAAAAACTTCATTAGTAAAAGTAAATCTTCATAAGTAAAAAATTTCAAGAACAAATTGAATTCCAAGAACAATTTACAAATGACATTTAAAAAAAATCAATTCAATTTGAGAAAACTGGATTGATAGGTATCTGGAAACTATAATACACTTTTCAAAATTAGAAGTCAATAACATTTTTCGTGACCGTTACAGTTTTGATCTCAGATAGTGGAATTTTCCTTTATTTCAACATAGAAATGTGAACAAATGTTTCAAAATCAAGCCGTGTAAAATCCTTTTTGAGCTTCAGCAAATTTTATAACTTCCCGCTGAAAAAAAATCGACACGACCTTTTTAAGATCGTCTTTAATCGTCTTCAATACGTTCATCGACTTTAAACAAGGCACAGGAATCAGTTGTGAAAAAAAAATGGAAAAATTCAAATTCCCTTTCATAATGTCGACCGAAACATTCCAGAAAAGCACTAATTTAAATACACCATAACGACTGTGTAAATAATTTTAATGTAGCCTGAAACTATTGGCGTTAAAGAAGCGTCCGAGCTGCAATGAATAAATCGACAAACAAAAAGGAGACACGCGTTGCTGCGAGGTCAATTTTTTCCTGGGACAATTAATGGTTTGTAAAATGCACAAAATCTGGCCAAGAATTCACTAATTGAATTTGATTCTGCTATTAAGCAAGCTTTCAAAGATTTTGCTCATTTTGTTAGACAGGAAACTTACTGGGAAATTTAAAGGCGACAACATGCTTCGAACTAGTAACATCTCGGCTGTATAAATAGCTAGCTGGGAAAAGCTTATTTTCCGATTTTAAGACACTTGCTCTTGTAAGAATGGAAAAACCCTGAAAACGCTTAAGCATTAGAAAATAATAATTAACTTGGTTCTTTCAATGCATTTATTGGAGTACTCTTCACTTGATCAGAACAAAATCTCAAAAAAATGACTAAAAAAAACTATGGCGAAAACTGTATTGTATTTAATCAGATATGAAAATCAAATTTAGTAGAAAAATTTAGCGTCGAATCTGGCTCTTTAAAAGACTTTGTGTCACTTTCTGTTGCTTGCAGAGTTAATATTTGCACTGAATGTTCATAAATATAGCTTTTTAAATAAATCGATCAATCAAAACTAATTCCAATCCATCCAATCTGCACACTGTGACTGTATACACACTGTGGTAAATTAACTGCTAATCAATCTAATTACATAACAAAAAATTACAAATAATTCACAGCCGCAAAATACATATCCCTGCAGATTTGCACATTTTATTCTTTCCGAAATAATTTTAGGTTTATGATAATTATCTTCAAGACTACTAAGGTTTGAATTTAGTCGAAATCGAGGTTTAAATTTGCAGCTTCAAAATTCCATGATATTGCGAATCACTGCACATAAAACAAGTCCAAGACGGAATGATAGTACTTTTAGGCGGACTTGTACTAGTGGACGTAGCTGCACTTCTGAATCCCTTGAAAAGCTCCACCAATTCCGTCGAAACTAAACCTGATAAACAATTTTCACAGAAAGCATAATTACATGCCGACTGTGAACACCTGAACAAAATCGGTTTCTTCGAGGCTTCCGACTTCTGGATATTCGTGATTAGCTCTTCTATATTACGACAGCATATACAGCACATACTTTTGAGGTACTCGAGGTCCATTAAATCGTGGTCTTCAGCTGGTACTTCCATGATTGTTATTATATTTTTACACACTCGTGGTAAACAGTCGTCGCACACTCCCCCTATGAACATAGGATGTGAAATGTTGGAGACGTTTTTCGATGTGCAACATATGCATAGTTTCTTCAAATGTGACGCTTGTGTGTATCCACTGAACCGGTTGCTTCTAGAATGCGGGAAGGTTTTCCTGAATACTGGATGAGCGTTCTGTTCAGGTTCATCGTTTTCTTCTTGAACTAGACGGATATCGGTGAGTGAAGTAGTGGTACATGTTGTCGAAAGTGGGCTTGTGATTCGGGACCGAGCAGATGCTTTGGCTGGAGTGATGACACTAAACTCTTCTTCTGAATCTGCAAAAAGACAAAGGATTAAAATTTTGTGATTGAAAAAAGTGTGAGCCAACAGCAAAGAGAATCCATAAAGCCATATAAGGGATTCCTAAATAGGAAGTTAACTGGTATCCAACAAAAAAAGGAACTTTTTCCCAATTGCAGCAACTGTAAACAAGCAACAACTTCAAAAATTTTCGGCAAAGTTCATTTTGATACATTTTGAACAACCATTTTTCGCAAAAACTATTAATTCACACGCATTATAAAACTCGAATGCAAAAACAGCGGAGCAAACGTTCAATACTTTTAAATTCTAAAAATTGGATATTTCTTAAATTAATTTCTTAGAGTCAATGAAAACATATTCAATAGAGAGTTGTATAAATGTAAGCGAATGCTTGGCAACTAGAATATAGCCAGCAGACAGTTGGAAAAGAGTCAATGAAGCAAGAACACAGAAAAAAAAACTTTAAAGAAAAAATATACAACCTTGGACCCCTCTGAACTGCAAGAACAATTTCTGACTTACACTTCTTTGCTACAATTAACCCAATATAAGAAAACTGGATCAATATAAAAAAAAATTTATTTCGCTGGAAATCTGCAAGATAAATTCCACTTTCTAAACTAGAAGTCGATCACGGTTTTCGTGACTTTTACACATTTATTGTTCGATAGTGGAGTTTGCTTTCCTTTAAAGATAGGAAATGAACTGAACTTAGAAAAAAATCAAAAGTTAAAAAAAAAATTTGAGCCTGAGCAAATTTTTAACTTTTGCTGAAAAAAAAACGAAAAAGAAAAAAATCATTGCGACCTATATAAGAGTCTAAAAAATATAAAGCCCTGAAGCTCTTTGAATTTGAAGAACAATTTATGATGCACACTTCTGAACATAGCCAGCAGACAGATGGAGAAGAGTCCATAAGCGCAAGTTAGCAGAAAAAAAATGACTCATTCATTGAAAAGACTTTCGATTTTCAGAGAAAAAAAGATGGCGTTAAAGCTTTGTGAATTTCTGGAAAAATTTATCATGGAAATTTTTTTGATAAAAAATTTAAACAATTTGAGAAATCTGGATCAAACGCGTAAAAATTTTACTTTGCTGGGAAATCTGATTATTAAGTTCCATTCGAAATAAGAAGTCAATCACGTTTTACGTAAACTTACCACTTTCGTTGTTCGATAGTGGAGTTTGCCTAGTTTTAACAAAAAAAATCAACCGAACTTAAAAGGGAATCAAAAGTCAAATCGTGAAAAAATAATTTTCAGCCTGAACAGTTTTTAAGACTTTTCCTGGAAAAAAAGAGAAAAATCATCGCGACCTATATAAGAGTCAGACCTACGTTCATCGACTCTAAATAAAACTAACCCAATTTAAGAAAGCTGGATCAATAGGTAAATTGTTTAATGCCGCTGGAAAATCTGCAAATTAAAAACAACTTTCGAAGCTACAATTCGATCATGTTTTTCGTGACCTTTACACTTTTGCTGTTCGATAGTAGAATTTGCATTTGATTTAACAAATGAACTGAACTGAAGTTAAAAAAAATCAAAATCAAGCCGCGAAAAACCCAATACTTTTTTTCTTTAAAGTTCAAAAAAAAAGGACGGTCGATTCTTAATAAAAAAAAACTTTTCCTACCTTTGAGAAGGCCCATCTTAGGCCGGAATAGAAATAATGTGCCTCTACTTCCTGCATGCTGCTTGGTATCAATACCATTGAGCTCATCAACAGGAAGTAACAAGACCATGATGAGAAAGAAAAACGTTTCAAAGCAGAAGATGACTAAAGGAAGATTGTGTTTTATGGATAACCAAACTCAAGACAAGCTACCACGAGTAAAGGCCGGAGTATTGTATGTAATAAAATCAGTAGTTTTAAGATTGGCAGGCACATTTGTGTCAAATCGACAGGCCTTAGCATATGGTCAGCAGTTTGACTAATTTAACCAATGCAAATCATCATTAATCATGCACCACTGACAAAGCAAACCAAAAAATCACTTACCGTGAATTGAGAACTTGACTTTTCCCAGTCCCCCGCAATCATTGTCCTCATCTGCCATCAAGTTCTGATCACAACTTGCAGGTAAACAGTTGTTATTTGCGATGTCACTTCCCGCAGGCGACGGTTGCATGTTTTCCTTCTGGGTTTGTTCGGCTGGTCGAAAATCAGCTAATGTTATTTCATCGTCATTATCAAACAACAATTTTTCATTGCTTCTAGTCTTTGTATTGAGTGAACTTGGCTCTCGTTTTGACAATTTCTTCGCCAAAATTGGCGTTCTAGCTCGATTGAGTTCAGCTTCATTTCTATTCTTGCACTCAATTTGGTTGTTATTTTCACGTTTAGTTCCTATTTTGGCTTTGATAGCAAGTGAATTAGACGATGTAGAATTCGAGTTCGACTGTTGAGCTTCGTTATTGTCATTGGTTACTGCATTGGAACAAGAGGAACTGGTTTGAGAGAATGTTCTGTGATTAATTTTAGCACCATTTTTCAGGAACTTCTCAAATCCGGATTTCCAGTGTCGCTTCAAATGCAGATAGCCGACGTTTGAATTTGTACAAAAGAAACAGTTCCACTTCTTTGAGCTTCTAATCTTGTTGGCACCAGCTGAACCCAGAAAGAGGTTCAGACATAGAAAGCAGAAAGACCTCAGACATTTATCCATGCCTGAATCACACATTACAAGGTCGCGACCTTCCCGACAACAAAGGGTGCAGTTTGCTTGGTACCCGTCCCGCGGATCAATAACCTCTGGCACCTTCTTTAATAACACCTCGCAGTGTGAACACAAGCCAGCGTGCTTTAACATGGGGTGTACTCTATTGGCGGGTGAAAACCCGCAGCTTATACAATGTGAAAGGAACCCATAGCTTTTGGGCATTGCTTCAAATGTTTTCTCTCGGTAACCACGCTTAGGTTTCTCGTGAAACTTTTGAACTAGTTTAATGACCTCACTGTCTTCTAATTCACCTTCAATTTTCACGCCAGAAACTGATTGTTCTTGACCTCGATCAGTCTTATTTTGATTAGCAACAGACTTCGCCAGTTCAGAAATACTTTGGTCATCTGAATCGCTTTCTTCGAACGTCCTGACTCCATTTCTTGCTTTGACAAAACTTTTGCTTTTACCATTACTCCTTTCTAGAGCCTGTTTTCTCAATTTCTTAGCCTTCGATGTTTTCTCTGATGTTCTGGAAATCGTACTAGGAGGCGGTAATCTGTATGTGAATTTTGGTACATTATTAAATAGATTAACTACTAAATCGCTGATATCTAAGCCTTCAAAAGGTTGTTCGCGGATGTTTGGGCACAGAAGTCTTGGGTATTTGGCAGCTGGAGGATCTTTGTCGCTTAACCAGGGAAGAACATCTTTCGAAGCCATATATCATCTAGAAAATACAACATGAACAAAACACTATTTTGGAACCATGAATTAGTTGGTCGAAACTTGAACGTCTAAATTTAACCCACCGACGCCTTGAAAATGAAATCCAATGACTTTTTTTGTCAGCTGAGCATTTTTACACATTGTTTCCGTGAATTGTGATGAAAACAAGCAATTAGATATGTAATTACAATTTATCATTCATAACTTAACAGCTTATTAATTGATAGTAAAAGAGGCGAGTTTCTATTTTTATAACACTAGACCTAGTTATGACAATAGCTGAACAAGTATGGTACAAATCAGAACATGGCTGATTTGATCATTGCGGTCATCTTTCATCAGCAATCATCCTTTTGTTCTGGATTCTCGTCGTTGTTCTGTCTTTCGTGATCTCCGTCTGATTTTGCGACAGCTGATAGCCAATGATCACAATCATCCAAATCCAAAGGCTCTTCTGATCCTATTTGCAGCAGAGAAAAGGTCAAGTCTTGCACGAAGTCATGTTTTTCAATGTCACTACTTTCTGATTCCGTCTGTATTTTCAAATCACTGTCTCCACTTTCCGTTCGTTCTGTTTCATCATTTGTAAATGAATGCTTTTCGCTATTGAAGCTGGAAAATAGAAATAAATTTAAAACCAGAGGCGAAGCAGAGCTTGGCATCGCTTGCGATACAACAAAACATATGACAAATTAGAAGACATAATTGAGACGAAACCCACTAAGTCGCAAAAAAAGTTTTGAAATATCGAGAAAATTTTCATATCATTGCCTCAATTAGTCTTGAATAGAAAAATTGAACGTTTATTTGCATCCAACCGACACTTGGGAAACGGCAACAAAGCAGACAGTTTTTGGGCAGACAAAACAATTGAGCAGCCAAAAACCCGTTATTTTCATTAAAAAAACTTTAAATGATAAATTTTCAGTAAGAGCCAATAAAATGATGAAAGCCCAGGAAACAAACAGAAGCACGAAAAAACTGATATTATACCGAGCCAGGGTTGGTTAGAAAAACTGCATACAAAATTATTACCGAAAAGAACGGGTATTTGATATACAAACATATCAAAATATGTCGAGTGCAGATTTGAAAAAATGATTCAGTGATTCTGTCGGACCGGTTGTTCACAAGAAAAATTATGATCGGATGATAGGATAGCGGCACTAATGGATCTTTATGAAGGGGATTCAGAAATTTAGAAGACAGCCTAACCTTCAATAAAAGAAAAGTCAGGCAACGGAAACTACGCCGGTAAAAATAAACAGACGGGCGATAAGCCAAAAAGCAGAAAACTTCTAGTTTGCAAAAAACAGGTCCCGGTCGGATTCGAACAAGCCTTCGTCGTCTTAAGCAGGAGTCTTACTCCTACGCCAGATGCGCCGGAGGGTTGATTGCAATTAAATAACGCTTGCTTATCGCAAGCGTAATTATTAAGAAGCAAGCTGAAAAACGGAACATTCTTAGGAGCGTGAAAGAACTTGTTTACGGGGTGCCCGGTTGCAGCACACTTGCTAGTCGCGAGGGTAAGAAAAAAACTCTCAGATTAAACACAGAGATAAAGCTAAGCTTCGCACAACTGGCGATGCAAAATTGAACAGCGAGGGGAAGCTGCGCTTCGCGGACACTAGCTAGAACACGTTAAAAAAGCAGCTCTATAAAGAACAAAAAGAAATAAGCTTCGAATTAGTAAAAATTCGGCCATGATACGGATTCGAATTGCAACCTAGAGATAATGAGTCTCACACACTAACCACTCAGCCAGGGAGGCTCAGTAAAACACAAACACTACCCAAAAATGAAGGGAAGAACATATTCTATCAACTTTCCAATGCTACAGATAGTGATTTCAGCAAAAGTGCCACCAAATAAGTGAACAATTTTAATGAACACTTTTATTTGCAAATTAGGTTAGAAAAAAGGTTCCTACCAGAGCAGTATGCTCACAAGTGTAATGACTATGATTGAATGCAAATAAAAAGTCATCAAAAATTTCAGAAAAACCTTCAAAAAATTGTTCAAAAAACCTTTAAAAAAGCCTTATCAGCTTAAAATTTTTGCAAACTGAAAAAATCTAACATTTTCAGATTGAAATTTCCCGTCCGAACTCCAATGCTTTGTCGTCTCAAAACTTGTATGTCAAGGCTTTGTCCTTGAATTTGAACTTACAAGTGGAAACCATTTAATTGAAAAAAAAACGCGAAAAACCAATATTTATGGCCAATATGATATTTTAGATGACAACGTATGTATACATTTTTAAATATAAACTAGCATGTAACGCACCTCCGGTACTCATATTAAACCGCACTACCAAGATTTCAGCAGTCTTATTCGATGGCAATATTCGCAATCTTTGAAAGTACTCTGACAGCACACAACTACTGGGTTGGGAATTTCACTTTAGTGAATTATTTGGTAATTTGAGTTTTCTGAAAATTTCCAAAAAAAAAATCACAACTATCGTCTTATCTCTATAGCTAAAAAGATTTGGTCATTCTTAATTGGATGCCGAATTTGCAACCCCTGAGATTACTCTGACTACCCCCAACTACAGGTTAGGAATTTCACTTTGAAAAAAAAAAAATTTCATGAAAAATATGAAAAAATCGCAAAAATCGTCGTACCTGGAAAACTGCTAGGTTTTGAGCAATCATATTTGGATCAAAATTCGCAAATCCTGAGAGTACCCTCACAGATTCCAATAACAGGATTGAAATCTTCAACGTTTTGGAATTTTTTAACATCGAAGTTTTTTTTTAATTTCGGAGAAAATAAAAAAACGTCGTATCTCGAAAACTACAAAAATTTGAGCAGTCATATTTAGAGGCAAAATTCGGACCTTCTGAGAGTACATTGACAGAGCCTCACTACAAAGATGGTAATTTCAAGTTGAGTGAAATATTTTATATCTACGTTCTCTGAAAATTTTTGAGAAAATCCTAAAAAACGTAATATCTCGAAAACTACAAGAATTTGAGCAACCATATTCAGTGGCAAAAATTGCAACCCCTGAGATTACCCTCACTGATTCCAATAACAGTACTGAGATCTTCAACATTTTGGAATTGTTTAACATCCAAGTTTTTTAATTTCGGAGAAAATCCTAAAGAACATCGTATCTCGAAAACTACAAGGATTTGCGCAATCATATTTGGAGGCGGAGTTTGCAACTCCTGAGAGTACTTTGACAGAACCTCACAACACAGATGCGAATATCAAATTAGGTTAAATTTATTATATTTAATTTTTCTGAAAAATTTTGAAAAAAAAATTCTTTAAAAACGTCATATCTCGAAAACTACAAGGATTTGAGCAGCCATAATCAGAGGCAAGATTTGCAACCCCTGGGAGTACCCTCACAAAATCCAACAACAGGAATGAGATCTTCAACTTTATGGAATTTTTTAAAATCTAAGTTTTTGAAAAAATCTTAAAAACGTCATATCTCGAAAACTACAAGGATTTGAGAAGTGAAATTTGGAGGCAAGATTCGCAACTCCTGAGAATAACCTGACAGCACCTTACTACAGAGTGAGAATTTCAAAAATTGAGAAATTTTTTTAAATTAATTTTTCTAGAAACTTTTGAAAAACCTCGAAAATTGCCTATCTCGTAAGCTAAGAGGACATCACACTATTAGGTTGTTAATTTCAAAGTTGATGAAATGAACACTGAATTTAAACTGGAAAGTCGAAAAATTTTGGCCATCGCAATATACGATATAGCTTAAACGTGAAACAATTCTTTTGTTAAACATGCAAAAATAATACGTTGAAAAAGCCTACACATGGCGAGATAGTGAAGCCCGCATGTAAATAAATAATAGATAGCTGAAAGTTAAAAAATTAGGAGACGGGTAAACAGACATAATCAAATTAATTTAAAAAGCAGGTAAACAGACAGACAGACTTAATTTTGCCTCGCAAAAAATTACTGAAAATTAATGACCTTGCGGAAACTAATTGATAAATTTTCTTAAGCATTGCAATATACGATATAGCTTAAATATGAAAAAACTCTTTCGCAAAATAATTATGCTTAAACATGGGAGATAGCTGTCACTCGCATTGAAATATAGTATAGATAGATATATACATATAATATTTCCAGAAACACAAGTGAAAGCAACTGAAACAACAACAGGGCAAAATTCCAATCACTTGCATTACAACGCAAACATAGCATTTCAAGCTAGCGAACAAAGACGCAATTAGTATTTTTGGAACAAATGAAAAACTCAATTTCAAAAAAACATTCGGTTATACAAACACCAGTATTAAAAATGCTTTAGCTAATTATCGAGCAGCCACTACGCCGACAATAAATAGGTAAACAACCTTTGATCAGTTAAATAAGCCAAAACCACATAAGCCGAAACCATTTAAGCCAAATGGAACTTGGAAGTGAAAAAAAAACAAGAAACAGGAAAATATGCAAAACCAGGGCTAAGAAATTTTAAATTACAGGAGAAAGTCATTAATACTTGCAATTACAGGGAAAAGCGTTTGCAGTACAAGAAAAACAAGAAAAATACGTGAAGCATCGACTAAGCCGATGAAACGTAAGCAGACAAGTTATGGCCGACAGTCCCTTTTTCCAACAAAAAATTCACATTCATGTAAACTAAAACAAAGGTCCGAACAGATCATAGGATGTCAAGACATGCAACTGCATTACCTCCAGCACAAGAGGAAAGGAGACTGAAAGCTCTAAAGGTTCACTAATACAGAAAGTTCAAATTCTTGTTCACGGGAAAAAAATCTAGTTCCCGATTACAAGTAGTAAGTGTAATTAAGCTGAAAGTTTTATTTGTTCAGAAACGAAAACCTCTAGGGAAGGAGCATTGGAATTGATAACGCAAATTAACCATTCATTCTCACAGACTTTTCGAATTAGGTATCATATAAAATTTAATCAGCAGTCTTTTACTGCTACCTAAATACTTTACTATTTCACGGATGGCATTTAACACTGCATACTCCCGATTTGAGTAACAAAAAGTTTGGCTAGAATTGCATCAGCTACATTCACGACAATTAGGTATTTATCTGTTATAACCAATCTAATTGTTCACTAGTTATTTCACTAGTTATTTCCCAATGACTTCTGTTACCAGAAGAAAAACCGCGTTCTTACTTTCTCAATAAGAATCTGGAGTCTGAGAGAACATCTACATTGAACAGTGGTGTTGCGCTTGCAGGGACATTAATTAACGAAGGCGCAACGCTCGTCCCTGCTGATTGCGTCACATCTGTAGCACCGCCATGCGCATTATTTGCACTCGACTGACTAGAATAAGAGCCAGCACCATAGGATCGTCTCGGTATCCGAGACAGATGGTCTCTCGAGTGTGCTCCTACCACGCTCTGTCTTTCCATCTGAAGCTGCCATTGCAACTGTTGCAAGTGACTGGCTGTCGAGTTTAGTACTGCTTGGTGCTCTGCGTTGCTGCGGGACACAGCTCCGCCGGCACGCCGTACACCCGACAGTTGAGATAGCAACTCTAAATAGGAACAACCTTTTGCCATCAGTAGGTTCACTGCATGAACTTAGAAGCACTAAAAAAATAAAGACTAAATTATAAGAAGATCAAAAACAGGTATCCGAACACCTTCAAAACCATTATTTTGAACAAAATTCTTTTCCAAGGCAGAAATTTCTCACCTGCAATTGGATCCACGACTGAGTCTCTATCTCGCGCAGCCCCATTGGCAGTAGTAGTCTGTGGAGCCTGCACAATATTCGCGCTTGTCCCAGTGTTCGTTTGGCCCCCTACAGTTGTCGCAGCTGATGTGGACGACGTCAAGTTTAAAACCCCGCCGTTGCGTCTCCGAAGAATCGCGCGTCCAGAATGGAACACACCTGTAGATCCTGAGGCACCGGATGTCGTTGTCCCCCGTCGTCTTGAGGAAAACTGCGAAATTCCGCCGATGTTTGCTGCTCGCTCTTCTTCGCTTGTTGCCGAAGTAGTGTTCGAGCTTGCTCGTGGAGCATTGTGTGTACGGGCTAAGTGCCGCGCGTAATCTTCTGTCACAAAATTCGGATCACCATTTGGCGAAGTGGCACAGAGTGGGCACACCTATGGACATAAGTTTCAGATAAACTTACTGTTATCCGCTTCATCAGCGCGCAGATCAATTACATTCAGGGGCAAAACAACTTTTTTAATGTAATAATTAGGAATTTGAATTTTTCAGATGGACTAAGGGTGAATATCCATATATGATTAAACGTGCTTGACTTATCTGTATTTTTCTATGCCTTGTTTCGAAGCTTCTTTTCCTACTTTAAGCGATTGATGAAGAGGATGTAATATGACGAATTAATCGGTCTCCTAACATGGCAAAAGCACCCTACCGACCCCATTGGTCCTTCAGCAAAAACATAAGAATTTACTAACTACTTCATGCGAATGCGAAGAGTGAGCCTGCGAGACGTGAGTTATGAGAGTCGCTTCAGTGAAGCCCAGACTTCCGCAAATAGGACAAGTTATTGATTGTAATGTCTGTGATCCATTCGTCTCCCCCGTGTAGAACAAATCTAAATGAACAATTTTGATTTATGTTTTTCAACACCCATATAACCACTTTGCATACTTGAAAGTTGAACCAATCAGTTCAACGAATCAATCTAGTTCAATGAATCAATCCAGTTCAAAGTTGACTAGGGCTGAAATTATTTCAAACACAGAGGCGAAGCAGAGCTTCGCACAATTAGCGATTTATCATCAAAAATGGCAGGGTAATCCAAAAAAGAGACCCAACTTAAAATATTGAAAGATTAACAATGTCTATCAAAAAATCATAAGACAAAAATTGATTTTGATGAAAGCATGTGGAGAAAGTCAAGTTAGTTGCGTTTCGCTGCAGCAAAAATCGTTTCAAAATTGAAATGAATTTTTAGTTTAAACGACATTTGCGCTTAAAATGACGAATTTATCTTTCAAAAACGTATTCGATCCTGCTGTTAAAGCAATTTTAGTTGAGTTTAAAGAGTTTGTTTTAAAAAAAGACGATATTATCCATCAGTTACGGAATCGAGTTGCGGAGCGTTTGGATCAACAGTAGCAGTAATCTCAAAAGGATTGCGTAATTTTTGAAAATACCAACAGGCCTCTCTCACATCAGGTATGCGACTTTTTAAAATTTATCTTCAGTACAAAACTGATCAGAGAGATTATCAAAGCATGTTATCTACTGGGTAAAAGGGGCAATTTGAAAAACATCTGCCCTAATAGTTGAATTTATCTATTTTGGGGAAAAGAACGAAATTTTTGTGCGAAAATAATGGCTGGCGAGAGTGGCCAATGAGGTTAACTCAAAGCCTATCTTTATGAAGAAAAAACCGCTCCGGAACAGAGTGAGATTATCAACGAGGTAAATGAAATTTTATTTCAACAAATAATTGTCAAATAAAGTTTTTTTCTGAAAAATGAAAACACTAGTCGTATTAAAAGTGTTCTAGTCAAGGCATTAAAGCTGTTCAGGATATTAAAAACACAACTGAGAAAAACAAGAACGAGTTTATCAGGAAAAAATGCTAACTGTTTCATAGGACCCTGTCGCAAATTCTAGTCTGAGAAAAACACCAAAAATTGATTGAGGAACGCCAGTTGAGTTCTGTACTTGAAAGATTGCGAGCTTCACCAGATGAAGAAGAAGCAAGGAAAAATCTGTTCAAGATTCATGAAAATGGTTCAGATTCAGACATTCCTGATGATACCGATGGAGATACTTTGGAAAGTTTAAATGGATGAACAGTTCATGGGCGTTTGCTACTGTAAGCTTAAAGTTCATCATATATCATTTTTTTTATTTTAGTTGAATGAGTTCATATACCAAAAAGACTATAGAAGAGAAAGTGGGAACTCTGGAGAGTAGTTTTGTTTTCCTTTTCAAATTACAGTTGCCTAGATGCCATCATGACCAGCTAGAAAACGTAATAACTTGCTCTTACAGAGACATGGTTAACTGTTTTGGATCCGTTGTTTGTACATTATTAGTGATTGTTATTCAAAAAATGTGAAAAAAGGTAAGTTATAAAGTCTACTTCAACTGAATGGGAGGCAATGAAAAACAGTCCATCTCTTAATGGCAAAACGAAAAACAATCTAACAAGAGTCTACAAAAAACCGACTAAAAATTTTGATAGTTTTTTTTTCGCAACTTGACGACTTATTGAAAAACATAGATCATTATCAAGGGAAAACTTTAACCTGCGGAGACCCTAAAATAATGAGCGCAGAAGCGAAAGAAAAACATTAATCGAATATGCGAAAAGAGTGTTTTTTATAAAGAAGCCAAATTGACAAAAACCATCTTCAAGGTGTAGCATAACTTTAAGGACAAACATAAAACAAGTGGCGAAGTCTACATGGAAAACTTTTCGCTAACATCCGAAAAAGTTTGATCAAAATTTTGTTCCCTAGAATTTTCACATAGGAGAAAGGGTAGAAAACTCGTGTTTTATCGCACATAAATGTACAAGAAGTTGCAAATTCAAAACCAAAAAGTAAAAACTGTTCTGATCGAGACGGCATTAATAACAATTCACTCCAGAAATTACTGTCTGTAATATGTTAGCTTTTTGCTGAAATTTTTCATGAATGTATAAATGAAGGCGTTTTTCAAGATGTATAAATGAAGGCGTTTTCTGAACTGGCGAATGTCAGTGCTTTACTTAAATGTGGTGATTTGCTGATCATAACAAATATAGACATATAAGTCTACTCAGCTCTATTTCAAAAAGTTTGCAAAATTTGTATAAAAAAGAATGTCGTTCATTATAAAAATGGAGCAATTTGGGCTCCAACCCAAAATATCATGTCTTCATGCTTTGATTTGTTTCATGAGAAACTCTTTCGACAAAAAGTATTTTGGAAACGCCTTTTTTATTGATCTTAAGAAAGCATTTGGTACAACTGATCAGACAATTTTTTTTAAAAAGAAAAAAGTTACATTTGCTGAAAACTTATTATATAAATAAACAGAGAACACATACAGCTGCAGATCAAAAACAAATAGGCTCAAGCTTCTCTATAATTTTTTGCTTGCAAATAATTAGGTAAGTACTGACATAAGAAAAAAAAACAGTTGACAATAAAGATAAAATTGTTTCTATTTTTGACAAAGGATACTCACAATTTGCAGTTTTAAAATTTTCTCATTCTATTTACTTCATCCGCTCTTCTATATCTTTTATCAGGGTTACCACTAGATGAGCTGAAATTCTTTTTGATAATTTAGTCAACAAATGTTAATAAGCAAGGTGAAGCGTTGAACGTAAGAGCTTTCTAAATTATGTAGTAAAACAGCGATAATTAATACAACCGTGGTGACGACAAGCTGAGCTCATCTATCAGGGGTTTCTATTTCATTTAAAACGCATATCTGGAAAACCAAAATGATTTGAGCTCAGACAATAAGAAGGCGAAACTGCTACCCTATATTGTAACCTGACAGCACCTCACCTTAGGGTTGATAAATTCAATTTCTATAAGTTGTTTTTAAACCTAAGTTATATTTGAAAAAGTCATGAGAAACGCCTTCTCTTGGAAACAAAAAAAATTGCGCAGTATAAGTTGAGGCTAGATTTGCACCCTGAAAATACCCCCTGAATGAACCCTGACAAAACCCCACTATTGGGGTTGAGAATTTCAAGATCGGTTAGTTTTTTTTTCAGTTCAAAATTTTTTGAAATCAAATTGAAAAAACCATAAAAAACGCCATATCTCGATGATCAAAAGGATTTGAGCAATCAAACTTGGACACCAGATTTGCAACCCCTGAGTGCTGAGTTAACTCTGAAAGCAACCCACTATAGCTTTGAGAATTTCAAGATCGGTTTGTTTTTGAATATCTAAGTGTTTCGAAAAAAAAAAGAAAAAATCAGAAAAAACGCATCTTCTTGAAAACCAAGAAGTTTTGAACAGTCAAACTTGGACGTCAGACTTGGAACTTCTGAGTGTACCCTGACAACTCCCCACTATAGGGTTGAGAACTTCAAATTCGGTTTGTTCTTATACCAAAAAGTTTTGAGAAAAAAAAACTGAAAAATTCATTAAAAAAGCGCCATATCTCGAAAACCAAAAGGATTTGAACAGTCACACTTTGACGACAGATTTGCAACCCCTGGGTGTACCGTCAAAACATCCCACTTTAGGGTTGAGAATTTCAAGCTCAGTTAGTTTTCTTTCAATCTAAAATGTTTAAAAAAAACATGAAAAAAGCATCAGAAACGCCATATATCGAAACCAAAAAGATTTGAGCACTCATACTTGGACACCCAATTTTCCATTCCTGAGTGCTGAGCTTACTCTGAGAGCAACTCCCTAAAACTTTGAGAAATTCAAGTTCGGTTAGTTTTAAATGACAAAAAATTTTGAAGAAAAAAAAAAGCATAAAAAACCAGATCTCGAAAACCAAAAAGATTTGATAAGTCAAACTTGGACGTCAGATTTGCAACATCTGAAGGTACCCTGACAAAACACGACGATAGGAATGAGAATTTCATGTTCGGTTAGTGTTTTTATATCTAAGTGATAAAAAAGAAACAAGAAAAAATCATCAGAAACGCCATATATCGAAAACCAAACGGAATTGAGCAGTCATACTTGGACGCCAGATGTGCATCAAAAAAATCATAAAAAACGCTATATCTCGATGATCAAAAAGAATTGAGCAATCACACTCGGACACCAGATTCGCAAATCCTGAGTCCTGAGGTTACTCTCACAGCAACCAGCTATAGCTTTGGGATTTTCAAGTTCGGTTAAACTTTTGGATCTAAGATTTTTGAGAAAAAATGCAAAAAAAACGCCATATTTCGAAAACCAAACGGATTTGAGCAGACCTACTTAGACGCCAGATTTGGAAATTCTCGGTGTACCCTGACGACACCCCGTTATAGGGTTGACAATTTCAAGTTCGGTTAGTTTTCTTTCTATCTAAAATGTTTGAAAAAAAACCATGAAAAAACCACCAGAAACGCCATATCTTGAAAACCAAGTGAATTTGAGCACTCATACTTAGACGCCAGTTTTGCATCTCCTGAGTGAACCCTGACAGCACCCTATTTTAGCGTTGTGACTTTCAAGTTTGGCTAGTTTTTTTATTTAAGTTTTTTGAAACATAAAAATGAAAACATCTTAAGAAACCCCATTTCTTAAAACTGAAAGGACTTAGGCAAACATATTTAGACGCCAGATTTGCAATCCTTGATCGTACCGACAGCCCCCCATTACAGGGTTGGGAAACTTAATTTCGGTTACTTACATCTGTTTTTTAAAAAAAGTAATGAAAGAATCATAAAAAACGCTATATCTCGAAAAACAAAAAGATTAGAGCAGTCGTACTTAGACGCCCGATTGCAACGCATGAGTGTACATAGAAAGCACCCTGACTAAAAAGTTGAGAATTTCAAAAACTTACTTTTTTAACTGAATTGTTTTGAAAAAAAATGAAAAAAATCATAAAAAACACCATATCTCGAAAAACAAAAAATTTTGAGCAGTTATACTTCGATACCGGTGTTGCAACCCTTGTATGTACCCCGGCAGCACTCCACTATAGGGTTGAGAATTTCAAGTTCGGCTTGTTTTTTTCCATCTAAGTTTTTCAAAAAGAAATGAGAAAATCATAAAATGCCATATCTCGAAAACCATAAGTAATTGAGCAGTGAGACTTGGACGTTAGGTTTGCAACCCCTGAGTGTACTCTGACAGCACCCCACTAAAGGGTTGAGAAATTCAAGTTCGGTTATTTTTTTTATATCTAAGTTTCTGAAAAAGAAATTAAAAACTCATAAAAAACGCCATATCTCGAAAACCATAAGTATTTGCAACACCTGAGTGTACCCTGATAGCGCCCCAAAATGAGGTTGAGAAATTCAAGTTCGATAAGTTTTTTCATCTAAACTTTTGAAAAAAAAAAAAGAAAAAATCATAAAAAAACGCCATATCTGAAAAACCATAAGTATTAGAGCAGTCAAACTTGGACACTAGATTTGCAACCACTGAGTGTACCCTGACAGCACCCTATTATAGGGGTGAGAAAATTAAACTTAGTTTAATAAACTCTGAATTTTTTGATAGTTATCATTGCGAATGTAGGAAAAACGTAGAGCGTTCACGCTCCAACAGAGTTTAAAACGTCAACTTTCAACCCATGCATTGTTTTGTACATTTAACAGACCAACATAGCGATTTTTCACACATGAGCCAAGTGAAATTTTTTGAGCATTACAATATACGATATAGCTGAAACGTGTAAAAATTCTTTCGTTAAACTTGAAAAAATAATGCGTTGAAAAAGCTTAAATATGTCAACATAGGGACTTCTTAAACATATCGACATGGAATCTCTTAAACATGTCTCACGTGAAACACCAATTAAATAATAGACCGATAGATAGATAGATTAGCGTTGAAACAAAACTTCGAAACGTTGACTAAACTCGATAGTATTACGAGAAGGTCGTTTAGCCGAAAAAACGATGTCAAAAAACTTTTATCAATCTATTTAAGAATTAAAATCTTCTATCGAGAAATATAATCAGGCAATGAAGACGCACAGAAAAATGTAGTCGGTAATTTTATGGATACCCTTTTTTTAAAAAAAAATGGGTAGGAATTGACAAGTGATAAAAATTTCCAACCAGAAATTCTAGGCAAACACGCCAAGACAGACATTTGATTTTCAAATTAGCAACTGAACAAAACTTAGGAAGCGGAAACAAGGCCGACAATCTTTGAGCAGACACCTGTTATGTCAGAAAAAACTAGTAACAACCCAGTAGTTAAATTTGAACTTTCATGAAATTGAGCATGTGAGTTGTATCGCAGCATCATGAGTGATTCAACTGATATTGTTAAGCTGATTGTTAGCCCGAAAAAAGTCTACATTCCGATTTGACAACGCTTGCTACATGCAAGCGTAAAAACTATCCCAGACTCAATCTCTAAAACTATCCCGGAACTCAAACTCCAGACCTTATGTTTCCGAAGCCGCGTGCTTTACCTCTAGATCAAGTGATAACGGGACTGTACTTGGTGAGAACGGGCCTGCACTGAGGTTTTATAATAAGGCAAGGTTTCATACACACATACATATTTACTTGGCATAAAACAAGCTCCTGCCGATACTCGAACCCCACAACTGTCGTCTGTAAGACATTGTCAACAGGAAAAAGTGTAGTTTCTGATAACGGGTTATTTGCTCTCGCATGTGAAATAAACTTCAAATAGAAAGAATCTTAAAATGCGAACTCTCAAAATATGTCGCATTAAAACAAGAACTAAGCCGACAAGAAAGAGACGAAGATCATTAGGCCAAAAACTGAAAGGCAAGGACCCGAACGCCTGATCTTACAAAGCTAAGTCACGCGCTTAGTTATTAGCCTGAGAATAATTCCGTTTTCACAAAAAAAGCAAGCTCAAGGTTTCACAGAATTGTAAGAAAAAATCTTCACAGCAAAAAATTCTAATTCTTTTTTAATAGACGCTCTCGAAAAGGTGAAAATTGAAAAAACTTGTTGCTGCAAAATTTGATTACTAAAATAACTCTACCGATGACCGTGTGAAAAAAACGCCCTGCGTCAGTTCATTCCCACTTTCGCACTTTCGAAATTGATCTATCTAAACAAAATTTTACCGTATGCCATTTGAGTTAGCATGCACTGCATTGCATGATCACTACTATGGTTGCTGCGGTTATTTTCCGACGATGACCGGGTAGCCGAAAGAAGACTCGATTCGTAACATGTTTCACACAGATCATAGTCATAGCAAACTAGGCATTTATACCTTTTGCCCCTGAAATTGGTTCTCATGCAAGAGTCGCAGCTAACCCCTAAAAAGAGCAGATGTCAAATACCATTTATTACTTCCAATGCCATTTTAAATAATTTCAACCGACCTTCATGTCTGGACATTTCACAATTACTGGAAACATGCACAAATACGTAGAGAAATCAACCATAGATCATTCCTCTGAAAATTCAAAACGTATAACGTCTTCTGTGAATGTGCCAGTCGGTCATATTTCAATTAAACATGTTGAATTTTCATACGTTTCTTTTTTTTTTAAAGGTAATCAGAAGGTCAAAAGTATCATAGTAACCGAGGTTACAGTCATGAGCAGGCATTTCGGGTTCGGGTTTTCGGGTATCGGGTCGGGTTTTCGGGTTTTGAGACAAATTTCGGGTTTCGGGTCGGGTTTCGGGTTCAACAAATTTTCGGGTTCGGGTTCGGGTATTCCATTATGTCGGATTTCTAAAACCCGACTTTTGTTTGCTGTTTTCGGTTTCGACAAAAACTTTCCCAATTTTTCTTTTGTTTGAGGTTTTTTACTTTTTTAATTTTTATTTCTATTTCATTTCTGAACGCGATTGCATTGTACGATGAAGGAAGAGTGGCGGATATTTGAAACCAAAAATCCAAAGTTGAAAGACAAGTTTCTGTGCGGTTTCATTGACAAGAAGAAAACAGAAGCGCGGAAGTGCGTTCGTTGCAAAAGTGTATTTTCATGTAAAAAGAGCAATACTTTTAGTTTATTGTTCACTGCTATTCAGCAGCTATTTTTATTGTTCACTGTAAGAGAAAGTTACACTCTAAAAACGCATCAAATTTATTGCGTCAACGTTCATACCATTTAATCTACCTGAAAATCGGGCATGTCGGGTATCGGGTCGGGTAATCGGGTTTTGAGATCTTTTTCGGGTTTCGGGCCGGGTTTCGGGCCGGGTTTCGGGTTTGAAATGAATGTCGGGTTCGGGTTCGGGTTTGAAGAAACCGTCGGGTTCGGGTTCGGGTTTTAGCTTATCGGGTAATCGGGTTTCGGGTTTGAAAAATGTCGGGTCCCGAAATGCCTGGTCATGAGTCCCTTCATCATGTATTCCAGTCAAAATCCTTGGAATTTTTTAGATATGGAAGTGATAATGATAAAAGAAGATGACAAGTGTTTAGGTCCTTTTCAATTAAAATCGATACGGGTTACGTTTCTTCAATAAGAACACGCAACTCGACACGAGATAATATAATATACAAGTGTTACAAGTAAAAAATTTCGTCGAAAGTTATTTTGTCATTTATTGTTCCGAGTACGCAAGCGGCGTTCGCAATCTGTATTGCCAGGGAGATTCTCTGTTTTAAAAAGCTGCCTGCTCTGGGTTCCTCAGTGCATATGCTTAGGTTCTTACAAAGCTTGCTCAAAAAAACTTCTGTGCTGGGGCCGGCCGCGCCCTGAATACTTGTCAATTTTTCGCTCTTCCGCTTCAGCGGCAGCCGTACCAGGGGTTATGTTAAACAGACGGAATGTGAGTAGATGATAGACTCTGCTTTATAAGGGCATTCAGGTTTGAATGCCTAGAGAATCTCCCTGCACTTTTGAGGCAAGAAAGACCATGCCAGCCATCCTCGGTAACGTCTTTTCCGCACAAACATTTATGCCGTTCGCATATTTTTGATCCTAATCGAAGTCCTATCGCAATTCTGAGTTGTTGGTTCGACAGTTTTAACCTTAAATTTTTGCACGGGATGACGTTCAACCATTGGGAGCCAAATCTATCTTGGAACGCGTTGAACCTTTTTACGTCCGTTGGTTCGAGTCGTAAAATCAAGTCTGCAATTTCGCTGTCAAAAATTGGCTCCGTCCAATTTTTTTGATTTCTCTTTCCGGAGCCATTTCAGTTTTTCCAAGGTCAAACCACCGTTTAAGCGCATCATCATAGGTTCCATCCACATGCTCCAAACCAAAGATTTCACTCAAGGCATCTTTCGCTCCTACTGCTGAGGCTAAGAAAGCGGGTAAAGTGAGTAGACGAGCGGAAGAAACGCCCAAGCCACCTTTGGCTGCCGGGAGAACTGCTTGTAAAAACTGGTTATCATCCATTTTCACGTTAGTGACCTTGCATAACGAATTTCTTAGTAATTTATCGTAACGTTCCAAAAAATCTTTTGCAAAAAACAAGGGCTCGTACGCAAAAAATATAGGAGTTTTGGCATGCTAAAGCAATTTTTCAGGAGTTAAAAACCATACTGGGCGTCTAGTTTTTCAATGACATTCGAGATTTTTTCAAGCTCCTTAATTTTTTTGTCGAGGAGTAGATGAGTAGATACTGTGTACTAGTAGTCGGTCCCAAAAAACAAAGTTCACACTTCTCAGTGTTTAAGCTCAGGCCGTAAATTTGTTCCGATTTCAGAATGTTTTTAAGGTCCCGGAGTACTACCTTATAGTCGTCGGCTAAATTCCCATCATCTAAAAACCAGATGTTAATTTCGACTCCAACTGTTTGACTAGTGTATGAATTGTTTCCACAAAAAGTGGTGGGGCTTCAGGATCACCTTGCTGAGTTCCGTCTTCTGACATTATGACAGAGCTTCCGTAAAAAAGGTAACTAGGTTTACCATACGCGCAATGGGTGTAATTATACAATTCGGGGCGATTTGAAAAAACATGATTCAGCATTGTTTCTCTGTTTAAAGAGTTAAAGGCATTCTTAAAATCTAGTTTTAAAAGAACAGTGCATTTTGGATTGTCGTCGCGTTCAATTAGGTTTCGAAACGAGTGCGCAGCTATTTCTGCTCCTCGTTTGGTGCCGCATCGTACCTGTACGTTTCCGAAAAAATTTTGTTACTCGGAGAGGGCCTTGCTTCCAGCGCATTTAGACGCGATACGTCTCAGCGTGTTGCCTATGGCAATCGGTCTCAACCCTCCGTCTATCTTTATGAGGGCGGTAAGCTTTGCGCCAAAAAGAAAGGTCTTAGTGGTTCGGGTATTTTGCCATCTCCAATGAGGTTTATCAGCTTAGTAAGCGATTTCAGAAAATTAAGTCCTGCACTGCCATTCGACTTACTAACAAGATCTTTAAAAATTTGAGGAACTATTTTATCAGGACCTGCTGCTGATCCGTTTGGAAAGGACATTATCGCTTTGTATAGGTCGAAATCGGTTACGAAAAAACTATCCAACTTTTCTGGATTTGGAGCTGCAAATTTGGCTCGCTGCGGGTGCTTAGACAACAACTTTTGATAGTTATCAGTTGAAAAAGGAGCTATTTTGTCATCCGAAGCAGCAAGCCTTATTCCTCCCTTTACATTTCCTTCATCGAGCTTACTACTTATTAACTTTATTCTCTGCTCGAGGTCACTCAGAGGCGGGCTTGAAACTTGGGGATGGGGTTTTGGAAGTGACCCGTCATTTGCTCGAATTTTTTTATTTATCAAAAAACTCATGTTTGCGTCCACTTCTTTTCGGTTGCTCCAAAAAAAAACAAGAACGAAGTTAAAAAAATTAGCCATTTTGTAAAATCTTCTACATTGTAGACGATGTCATTTATTTTGTCCGACAGACTTTCCGCCAAGGGAACACGCGAGTCTTTTGGTACTCTCTTGAGTACTCGGATATTTGAGATGGCTGTATTAACATAGTTGTCTAGCACTAAATCATTACCTATTGTTGCTTTATTAACAGGTTTTACATCAACGCATAAAGGACACTGAAACCATTGGGTTTTCTTAGAGTCGCTAAGAGAAATATTTACACAACTAATATGATACCAACTAGAACAACAATCACATCTAATACAATTTATCAGTCCTGAAGGTTTTAAGCAATCTTTGCTTGTACACTCTTTGTTGTTTTTCCTCATCTTGACGCAGCATAAAGGTAAAAAAAAAGGATTTTGACTCGACTTTAAGGGACTGAACTAACCCATGATAAGCGGTTAGTGGGAATTTTACAAATCAGCAAATAAAAAAGACAACTAAATTAATTTAAATTTTAAAATAAAAATCAAAAACAAGGAACAATCTCACCCGAGCTCAGTAGGTCCAGCGGTGCACCACCAGACTCCTCATGCCAGTTCCAGTTTCCCACCTCCCCACAGAAAGCCACTTGACAGACCGGTCTCTAAAATCCCTCAGAGGGCGCTCCACATACAGGCACAAACATCAAACATAACAAATCTATTTAATAAGTTTATCACAAGCTTCATACGTTAGCCTCAAAAGAAATTCAACTTTAAGGAAAAAATTTTGAGGTTAATCATTGGCCTGGATAATTTAGCTTTGCGACAAAATTTCAAGCAACAGTGAGAAGATTTGAATTAATTCAGTAATGAACAGGTGAATTTCCTTGTTTATTTTGCAATTCTGTTTTGGATGAGCAGGAGAAACCTCCATTCGGTCATATTTGGAAGTTTGACCTTGAGGAATACGAACTACGTAATTTTGGGGTGAAATGTAATTTTTCAAAAATTCGAATTGGACATGTCATGCTCAAGTTTCTCGCGACAACTAAAAATATCAGAAAAATAAGATCAGAACAACCAATTTACAATCGCGGGAAAGTAATTGAAAAAAACAGCGAGAAATTGCTATTCGCAATTTCCAGATATAAATCAAACGCGAGTAGAGCTGTTCTGTCCTGAAATAGGAGAAGAAGTGATTACAAAAGAAGAACATATTTATTCGAGGTGAACCAGAGTGAACCCTCAGTGGAAAGGTGGACAGCTGGGGTATCCCAATGGTCCAGTTCCAAAACTTAATTCTCGAGTCAAAACTTATTTCCCTTGCTGTAATTCATTAATAGCAAACTTCTCAAGCTATTATACTTAATGCTAGAGCTACTGATTAATTTAGTTGTCCCAATTCTCGAGTGTGCCGATATCTGAGTGCTCAATTTAGTTTTCTAGTGTGTTTTATGATTGTTATTCTAGTGTGTTTTAGTGTGTTTTATGATTGTTATGTTGAGGAAAGGAGAGTTTTAGGTTGATCCATCGGAAATGGATCAAAGTTTCACTGTCCAATAAAAAGTAACTGTACGGATTGTTCCGACCAGGGAGTTCAAGTACTTGATTTTTGTTGGAATTGAGAATTGACAGGGTCACAGGAATTGGGAATTGGAATTGGGGTCAATTCCAGTTTCGGGAATGGGAATTGGAATTGAATTTTTGGCTGGAATTGACATGGAATTGACATCAAAAACTGGCAAATAAAACTGATATCTTGAAAAACGACTCGGTCTAAATCTTAAAAAACGTAAAAATGCTTGAAAACAAACAAAAATTACATGATCAATCGTACTATTACAATATAAAAATCGATACAATCAATACACAGCAGAAGCATCAAATTACACCTCCAGATCGAAAAGATACCGGTTCTTACTTAGGAATACATTTCGACTGTGGTTCGCCGGAGATAAACGAAAATAGCCAGGAATTGGAATTGAATTTTAGTCTCTCCAGGAATTGGAATTGGAATGGAATTACAAGGAATTGGAATTGAACCCCCGCAATTGGAACCAACCGGAATTGAACTCCCTGGTTCCGACCCTGTTTTTAACGGCGTTCGCGTATTTTGGGTATTTTGAGACCTGATTATGGGGACGTTCTTATATTCTAGAGTGGGGGGGTATTTTGGTAGTGGCCTTTAAGTTGTAATGGGTTTTTAGTCTCATGTCGCAAATGAACCGAATTGGTTCGACCGTTCGAGGTAGAAAAACACAAGAGATAGTGTCCCTGACTCTTGAACCAAATGTTATAGGGCCTATTTTTCTTTAACCTCATATGTGACCGAAGTAAGCGACTGTTACATAGTATTTTTATGGCGCTCCTGGGTGTTTTTACGACATCATGACTACGGAGTCGAACCTACTAGACACAGCTCCGGGCTACATGCCCATTCTAGAGTACCGGTGGTACGGTTCAGCGGGAACGTGTAAACCTTCCGGTTGTACCGTGATGGCTTTTTAAGAAAACTCGAGAAAACTTCCTGGTACACTCTCCGAACGAGGCTTAGCTAACCGAGTAAGGCGACAAAACGAGCAAAAGACAAAAAGCGAAACAAAAACCGAAAAAGAATAGAAAAAGGAACAAAAACAATAAAACAAAAAAAAATGACAGTGACTTTGACACCAGATTAGTTGGATCAAACCTTTATATTAATTAAAAAGTATACCCATACTGTTTTTATAAGACCGATCGTTTCGATCATTTCAGCAATTTGAAAAGGTGCCCGAATGAGGGGCGTTGTTAAGGGTTTTCAGATAGCTTGCAACTTAGCTGGACCACCTGGACACTTAACTGGAAGAGGTGACCAGTCGAGTAGGAAAGTGGTTCACAGGGACTTAGCTGGACCATTAGGGGACTTGACTGGAACAGGTGACCAGCCAAGTGGGAAAGTGGTGCTGGCGATCAGGTGCAGGACACGTCAAGGAGTCAATCAGCACGGGATCAAAACAACCAGAGGAGGACACACAGGGGTGTTCTGGTTGCTCAATCGGGTATCGTAAAATCCACATTACATTATAGGAGATAAGTGTAAAATTGGATAAGCGGAACCCCATCGTTTTGAGGAACGTTTTTACTTGAGCAGAGCTTGGAAACAGGTTCTACGGTTTTCTCTTGAGAGGTTTAGCACCCAGCGCTTAAGGTAATTTTCGGCCTAAGAGGGGGGCTAAACAGGGGGGAGGTTAGAAGGGGGGCTGGTTAGGTTAGAGGTTGGCGGTTGTAAATTGTAAAAAGGGGGACACATTAGAGTAACTAATTGATCGACATCGTCGATTTAGTTACATTAAATTCTTACACGCGTTGATTATAAGAAGCGAAATCCAAATTTAAGATCGATTCAAGGTAGGTACCCTAGTCGGATCGGGTGGGGGGAACGGAAGTAGACGATTTTTGTGATACCCCTTGAGATTGCTAGCAGGGGGGAGGAGAACGCGTGGCAATCAGGTACCAGACGATTTTTCTAACAAAAGGTTGACACAAGACACCTTTGAATTTTAGGTGGGTTCATCTTTCTGTTTTTATTATTTTTTCTCAGTTGAAATTTTCACGTTTTTGGTTAAAAAAAGTTTTAATCGGTTTTGACCAAACAGGTGAACACAAGACATTCCCGTACAAGTTGGGTTGCAAATTGCATCAAAACATTAAAAGGGAGATAAACACAGGGGAGTTGGTAATTCTAACTTTTGGCCAGTAAGATTGGATTTTTTGGGAAAATCTTTTACTAGAGCTCAAGTGGTGGCACCAGGTACAGTGGTTCAAGAGTCCCGACAACGAAAGAGAAGAGTTCCCACTGTCTCAACACTTAGTGGAGAAGTACTGGGACAGTACCGAAGAGTCATGGGACAGCAGTCTTGGGACACGGCAGTCTTGGGAGAGTGGTCTTGGGACAGGCAGTCTTGGGACAGCAGTCTTGGGACAGTGGTCTTGGGACAGGCAGTCTTGGGACAGGCAGTCTTGGGACAGTAGTCTTGGGACAGGCAGTCTTGGGACAGACAGTCTTGGGACAGTTGTATTGGGACAGGCAGTCTTGGGAAGTGGTCTTGGGACAGGCAGTCTTGGGACAGTAGTCTTGCGACAGGCAGTCTTGGGACAGGCAGTCTTGGGACAGGCAGTCTTGGGACAGTAGTCTTCATGCATGTAGTAATAGCGACGCCTACACTGGAAGACCACATCGAGCGACTAGACGAGGTGTTTGCATGCATGAAGAGGTCGGGACTAAAGTGCAAACCGTTAAAGTGCGAGATACTCAAGGACTCGATAAAATACATGGGAAGGATGGTGGACAGACACGGCATCAGACCAGATCCAGATGCAGTAGAAGCGGTTCTGACCTGGAAATCGCCAAAAAAGGAACATCAGTTGATGAGCTTCCTGGGTTTTGCGAACTATTACAGGGAGTTCATCAAGGGCTACGCGGACAAAGTATACCCGATGCAACAACTAATGAGGCACAAAGGCAAGAAGTTCACGTGGAACAACGCGGCGGAAGATTCATTCCAGAGAATAAAGAAAGAGTTGTGCGAGGCACCGGTGCTAGGGACGCCAACGGAAAAAGGAATGTACGTGCTGGACACGGATGATTCGGTAGTCGCGATTTCTGGCTTTCTCCATCAAGAACAGGAATGGAACGGGAAGACAGTCTTAAGACCAATAGCGTACGGGAGTAAAGTCTTGAGTGATACGGAAATGAAGTACGGGGCGCCGCAAGCAGAGATGTTCGCGGTGGTTACCTTTGTCAAAAAATACAGAGCATACCTAGGCAGCGAGCCATTCAAGCTGCGAGTCGACAACAGGACACTCAGCTGGCTGAAGACGTACTCAATGGATCAGAGCTACATTGGAAGGTGGATAGTTCGCCTGGACGGATACAACATGATAATTGAGCATAGGACAAGAGACAAACATCAAAATGCCGATAGTTTGAGTAAGAAGACGGAGTTCTACGAGAAACAGGAACAGAGGGAGGCGGATTGGCCACAAAACAAAGATGGTTTCTCCTTCATGGATAAGGAAACGTATGATAGTCTTCCACTCACGAGATGGCTCGACAAGTCAGGCAAACCGATAAAAGATCACCCCGAATTACCAAAGGAGCCTCCAGAGAAAACAATCTTGAAGAAGACCCGAGGGATGCCGATAGGGATAATGCTCAAGTCAAAAATTGTGAGAGAGACGCTCAAGGCAAAAGGCTATGATCTCAACCAGGTAGAAACGGGAGATGCACAGGTAGATGAAGACTTGATGAGATTACTCGAGAATTTGGCAGACGATAAACCCGTGATCAAAGAAAAGGGTAAGGAGGAACCGGAAATCACGATATTGAGCGGACTCGGGTTAGGAAGAAGAAAGTGGCATTTAAGGAGGACAAGGGTCCGGGGAGTGGCCCACTTGGACTAGGACAAGAGTCCGGGGAGTGGCCCACAGTGGAAGAAGATGCTGGAGAAGAAAAATTGTCCGGGGAGTGTGAAGAGTGGGATGAAGATTCGGAGAAGAGCAGCGATGACCAAGATAGTCTATGCATGATACTGGCGAAAGAGAAGATGAGACACCGCGACAGGGAGCTTCAGACGGATCCCTCCTCAGGAACATACAACTTGGATCAGCAGGAAGTGCGAGGAGGTGAAGAACTTGAGAAATTTGCAGTGTCCAGGAAACCATTTAGGAAGCTATCGTGCAACACAAATGTCAGAACAAA